TTCCCTTCCTTTCTTCCCGGCGTCTCTGTGACGTCATAGCCTCAGTCCTAAGCCTCAGCGTCAAACAGTCTCAGGTACCCGTATATATTTCAAGACCCTTTCTATCGTCTCCAGCGATGCTGTTACCGTATGTCTACCTGTGCAGCGGGACTCGCCCGCTCGGACAAGCGTACCCGTACATGCACGCACGTGTTCGTTACCACTTTATAGCATCTAGTTTATTCTAGCGGTACCTTATCCAATTTTTCTCTTTTCAACAGGAAGGGTGGAAGAGGGTGGGCGACATATAGCGTACATCTCCCGGTTTTCCTCTAAGGGGGGCGATGGGGCGAAGTTGTATACCGCACGATATCTTTCGGTTTTCTGTAAGGGGGAGGTGAGGCTGGGTGCCTTATGCCTAGACACATCTCCAGTCTCGACGGTCGCCATTTTGTCGGTTGCCGTCACGTTTGCTTTCCGTCAGACATCTTGCCCGCTTTCTCCCACGCACTATTTTTTGGCACGTTTTTCCATCCCACTTTAAATCGACGGAACCGACGGAACCAATCGTAGGACTGGGCACTATGGGGAGAACCAATCGGACCGTCAGGACCCCTAGCTTAGCGGTGGACTACTCTCCACAAATACTATGATTAACTTCTATTCTAATAAGTTTTCAGCTAGCCCAGCATACTAGGACCCTGTTTGGAGAGGTGGAGGACCCAGGTTCGAGCCCAAGCATGTTCACGCAACCGGAAAAAATAAAAAAATAAAAAAATTTAAAAGGAAATAAATTTAAAGGGTAAAAAATTTTTAAAAAATTTAAAAAATTTAAAAGGAAAAATTTAAAAGGAAAATTGTCTCGTAGACGTCCACGAGTCCCCTCCATTCTTTTTTTCCACAGACACCTTTAGGGGGGAGGGCCCCAGACAGTCACAGCAGGGGGTCGGCGCCAGTGGCCGAGGAGTGGGGGTTTGTTTTGACGCCCCATAGTGCCCACTATCTACTTGTATTCTTAGGATATCAAGATTGAAGCTTTCTGTATATATGCGCCGATGCGCATATATTTTTTAGAATATATTATTTCTCTCTCTTTATATATATTAATCTTATATTAAATTAATAAGTTGCAGTAAATGCTTTTTGTAATTCCTTAAAACGCTTTATTGTATATAATGTATTTTTTTTTATAACAAGAAGAGCAGCCAGTCCCTTGTATCTTACTTTCCAAAAGTTGCATGATCTTGCTTTTATACAAGAATCCTGGGATTTAGAAATATATGATTGATATTCATGAATGTTAAAAGTATAAATATGATAATATAATATCGAGTAATGTTATATTATATAATATTTGAGAAAATAATTCGTTTTTATACATATACCTCGATGATATCTATATTTTGTAGCATTTCATGTTTAAAAAAATCAAACTCTCCATATTTTTTAAGCAAGACGCGATATCCTATAAATTAATAAATAAGAATATATTTAAATTAACTATTATTACAAAACATCAAAGATTATCTATATATACATATATATCAATAACTAAATATTGTTGTGGAAATATTAGACACTTATCTTATTCACTAAACAATATTTCTCTCTTTTTACTTAATTGTGAGTAACGTGTTAATAATATTTGCTTAAATGCGCATTTATTACGGGTAGATAAGAACACCAAAAAGTCTGCCGAAGAGAATGAAGTGCGAGATGATGAAACAGAGATCAGTCATCTATTTGGATCTGAACAAATGCACATACATCGCTGTCTCAAATGTGGGCAAGAAGCTACAAAACATTCCATCATGTTACTTTGTAATTTAGTTTATCCGGAAATAGTCAATCCTTGTAAGCTATTTTGAAGTAATACATATATTTAACAATAAGACCGAACGAAAAGCGAGTCTAGCACATAAAATGTTTGAAACTTTGACTGCATATTTACGGATTTGAGTATTTTAAGACAAAAAAATAAGATAAGAAAAATAATTATCGAAATCTGACAGTGATACAATTTTCAGTACATTTTAAGTTTTTAAAATTATAAAATTTAATAAATAACAATGTATTTTTAGAAATAGGATTTCGAAGTTTCGAATATTAGTCATAGTCATAGTAAATAGTAGTCATAGTTTAATGCTCGCTTCTGAATACAAGATTTACCTTTTGTAGCTGAAGAGGTACCGTTTACAAGTGTTCTTGCCCGCAGTTTAAGACCTGAGAAAATTACACCCGCATGGTGTGATAGTTGCCAGAAATTTACACCTACTCTCCAGTCACGACAATTGACTAAACTACCTCAAATACTGGCCTTAAATTGCGGCTTAGATACTCAACAGGTACTTACAACACAAGATTAGATCATAGCGCATACAGAATCAAAGCATATGAAGCCGCACATTGCGTCTTATTGATCAAAGTTAACAGAGATCAAATTGTTACAGGATAAGGCGTTTTGGCAAAATCAGATGGACATCGTAGTGCAAAATGTGTTAACGGGAAAGGAGAGTAGTCCCAGCTCCAGTCCTGTGCCTGTTACTGCGAAACCCTGTCGATATGGCAATAATTGTACACGAGTTGGATGTCGATTCAGACACGTTGGTCGCGACTCAGGTACGCAATATTGAATCCTCTTAGATTTAATATGTTACTCCGTATGAACTTTGTATTTTATTAATCATACAGAGACGGAGAAATTATTAACATCGCCCTCTACTCCGTCTACCTCGTCTACATCGACAGTGTCAGTTATTTCACCCCCTAGTCATTTGTATTATTCGCATTCCTGGATACCTCACAACATAGAGATCACTCTTGAAGAAAATGGCAAGATGTTGGTTAAAAAAGTTAGCGAACCAAAAAACGAATTGACGAATAACACGTCCGCACAAACGAGCGTGATGGAGAACGGCCAAGATGACAAAACAGTACGAACAGTTTCCGACAACAACGTCGAAGACAATAATGACGAAGATTGTAACAACGTCGAAAATTGTAATATAGTATCGAACGCGGAGAAACAGTCAATGCGATCAATCAATATACAGTACAGAGTACAGACAGTACACACGATGTTGAGATGGTAATTAAACGTTTCTTTTACCAATCGCTCTGTTACATCATTGTAATTTTTCAATAAATAGTTGTACAAATTCACATCTGATTTAATTTTCCTTTCTTTACTTATATTAATCAAAGCTATTCTCCTAACAGTTTTATTAGAAAAAAAATTAGCAATATATGCATAATGGTGTGTTAATTTCATTACATATATTTTTTTTCGTATTATGTCTTAATGTTGTATGTACAAGTCAGCACTAATCTCCTATTTATACTAAAAAGTCTCCTTTCTAATCGAATATTATTGCGTTAAACCACTTCTCGTGGATATAAAATTTTAGTAATGTAAATTAATAATTTACAAATTGTACACACATTCGCGTCTTGCGCGTGCGACCATAGTAAGTCACGCTATTATTACGGCGCTCAAGCCTACGAATTATAGTATTATATATATATATAACATAGAAATTTAATAAATAATTAAAAAGAGCCCCGTGCGTCTTCGAGGCTGTTTTCAAGAGATTTATAGATCCCTTTTAAACCGGTCGTGAGTAATGTTTGAAATGCTGATAACAATACATTATTCACAAACAATACAAAAACTTGGAGGAAACATTTAAAAGACGTCTGAAGAATTAACAATAAGCCATCTTTCACGACGTGTAAATTCAATGTTCACGATATGCAACATTTGATCACCGTCTTGTGTAAAAGGAGCTTTACGAAAGAACCCATAATGTTTTCGAATGAGTTCCGCTGGAGATGGTTATTGGCGAAATACGAGATCGTTTTAGAGATCATGCCGATTGGACGCGGATAAAAAAATAATTCTATTTTACCATAAAAAGGCAGCGGAAGCGACGGGGCACATATCAAGACGCTTTACCGGATAACGTTAAAAAAAAGAGCCGTCTTCAAATTCTATATATTCTTTCCTATCGGCAGACGTTCTGAACCTCGCCTTAAACTGTACGTACTGTTGTCCCTGCCTGTTATATATCTGATAACCAGCCGCGTCTTTTGTCAATGTGCCGAAGAGCCGTTCCAATTCTTGCGTGGAACTCGCATTCTGCAAACGAAAACCAAATTCTCGTTCTCCAACCGTCTCTTCACGATCGCCGGTGATGAAATCTTCCGTAGTTTGATGGTGATCACCCGCAAATACACCATAGTGCCTTTCCTCGTTATAGTTGTACCTATGTTCCCGCTCT